GGCCGGGCAAGGGGAAAAGTGCCCCCTGCTGTGTATCTGCCACTCGCCCCAATACCCAGCGAAGCGGTGAACCAAAAGCAACGAGGACACCACGAGGACCACAAGATACGGCGACGCAGCCTTCCTTACCTCTACCTCTCGCTCTCGAAGCGCCGAGATGCGGCTAAAGAGCCCGCTCATCTCATCCTCCGATATGTTCTCCTCGGGCTCCACGTCCCACTCCCCGAAACTGGCACCTTCCTTCCTGCTCGCTTCTCCAGCGCCTTCACTACCGGTGTTTCCGTTTCCGTTGCTGTTGCTGCTGCTGCTGCTGCTGCTGCTGCTGCCGTTGTTGTCGACATCGTCGCCGTTTTCCCTGTCACCTAAGCTATCTGCTGCCCCTTCTAACCCAAAAAATGGGTGGAAAATGACGGGCGGAACGCGTGGGGTCTTCATTGGGAGGAATGCTTCACAAAGACACGCAACAGCCACGTATGCAATTAACCTCACGATGGCGGCAAGATCAATGCAAGAACCCCGAGCGTCGCATCACAGCGTACCTAAAATAAGCAGCACTCGCCCCCAAGCGGCGGCGGAACCTCGTTTGGATTAGGCATTTGCGCACACGTTTTTTTTTTTTTTCTTAATATTCAAAAATTCGTTCTGGGTTCTGGTATCACACACATCGATTCACACCGGGGTACACTGCTTGCGGGCTAACTATGGCAGGTAAACTGGTCGGAGCGAGCGAGCTGGCCACGCGTCTTCTGCCACCCGGTGAAGCGAGCCGTGAACTACGAACACGATCATCATCTCAACAGGGAGAGCTTGCCCGCGTGTGACGTACACAACGGTGTTACACTTTACCTTGCGCAATAATAGGAGTACATAGCTCACATGCGCAGCGCCCACACCTTGTAAGCGAGGCTCTAATCACACGTTTTGATCCTCACCATCCGACAGGCACACGCCGCTTCGTGGTGGTGGTGGTCTTGGCGTGAAAAGGCTGCTGGTTGTTGTTGGTGGTGCAGTGCGGCGGTGTCGGCGGCAAGAGCCAAGGAGTTCTTCCACCGGGAGATGGTGGACGAAAGCACTGGCCAGTTTAGGGCCGACACGAACGTGGTTCTGCCAACACGCAAGCGCCGCAGCTGCTTGTAGCAATTCCTTTCTACACACCATCTCCACGCAACAGCAAGGAGAAAAGCACCACACAGCAAATGTTAATGTTGTTGGGTCTCGATATGCAACGTCGCAACGTCTCTACTGCTGTCACCAAGTGCTCACGAACCAAAATTTCCATCAGCGAAATCCCGGGGATGCATGAATTGATCCCCGGGGCTTCGCAGAGTAAACTTCGTGTAAGGAGGTATATAAATTTGTCTGCGTATGCCCTCTCTTGGTGCAAATGGCGTGCCCAGAAGAGGACTTGCTTGGAGAGAGCGGACATATCCACACCGGGGCGGGAGATAGAGCCAGAGCAGTGAATAATGTCGAGGATGCAGCAGCGGCAGCAGAAGCAGAAGCAGCGGCAGCAGCAGAACAAAAGGGGTCCGGACCGATTAGTTGCCGACAAAGACGAATGGGACGACCTTCCATTCGTGCGTGGTGGTGCGGCATCCCCTCCGAACCTCGCCACCCACCAACCCAAGCATCACCAGGGACCAGCATATCCACGCCCGCAGCAGCATTCGCCGCGCCAGCAGCAGCATCCGCCGCGCCAGCAGCAGCATCCTCAGCCGAAACAGCAGGCCCGTAACGCTCCCCAGCAGCGAAAGCGTTCCCGCAGCAGCGGCGATGCCGCAGCAGCGTCGAAAATGTCACCGGCGGCGGGACAAGCAGTTGGGCGATCATCATCGTCCAATCCAGGCAGCAGGCTGCTGTCTCGCGCAGTCACGGTCCCTTACCCCGCGTACTCAGGTCCGGTAGCAGTAGCGCCGACACTGGTGGCCAACCAGAAGCAGCAGGAGCAGCAGCAGCAGCAGCAGCAGCAGCAGCAGAAGAAGAAAGAAAAGGAGCCGGTGATGTGTAGAGGGTTTGCGGCCGGATACTGCTCGGCTGGGGTCGGGTGCTTTGACATCCACGATGGTCGGGCTTGCGAGGAGCGGCGGACAGCATGGCTCGCCGGCGGCCGACTTCCCGATCCGCAGCCGCCGAGGTGGGGCTTGATTATCGAGACAGCGTCGAGAGGCGGTGGCCGCTACGGCGGCCTGCCGGGAATTGCCGCCGGGGTACCCCCCGTTCTTGTGATCGCAGGTATGCATTGCCCGGATGGGTTGATTTCGGTGTCGGCACTTTTTTTCTTGAAAAAACGAAACGACTTCATCAAAGTGAGAACATGCCCTCTTCTGTTCTGCACCTGCACCTCCGAATCAACACACAATGAGCCCGAAATAGTCGTGTCTCGCATTGTTGGTTTCTGATAATGTCTTTTCGATGCCCCTACGAACAGCAGCATCATGAAGTGCGTTCTCACTGCAACATTTTCCTTTGCAAGCATTGCCACACCCGCACGCAACCTTGACCATCCGATTGCTTCGAGAATGCACTGCTGTTTTTGTTGTCGCAGCATACAGCTCCATGTTCTCCTGCAAAAGAAACGCCCATCCCTTTCCAACGTGCTTGTGAGCGTTTGTTGGTGGCACGTGTGTTTTTTATGCATGGCGCTGGTTGTCGTGGCAAACCTCGCCAATGCTCCTCCGCACGTGGTCAAGCACCCCGCTCTCCCCTCGTCCCTTGTTTCCGTCCTCAGACGTCGCCAACAGGAACAAGATCACCGAGTTTGTGTGTCTCGCCATGGAAGCTGCCACGGGACGTCAGCTCGGCCGGTTCGCTCGCTTTGTCCGGGTGGTGCCGACACCAAAACCACCGGCAGCACCAGTGGCAGCACTGCCCGCGCAAGTGGTGGTGGCCTCGGCAATGCCACCTCATCAGCTGCAGCTCCAGCCGCAGCCGCAGCAGCAGCAGCTGCTGCTGCAGCTGCAACCCCAACAGCTGATGCAACAACCTCAGCAGACGCCACTGTTCGGGGACGGGGTCCCTGGAGGGATTGCTGTTGGCGACGGCGTCGTAACTGAGGGGGTGTCGAACCCGCTTTCCTCAGCGTTGCCGCTGCCAGACGTGCTCCAGGAGTTGCAGCAGTGGATGGCTTCAATCGGGCTGAACCCAGGCCCTAGGGACGCAGCGGGGTTCAGCGAGCGGGGAAATTTCAGGTGGGTGGGTGGGTGGTGTATTTTGTGTTTTTGCCCTGTAGGCGGCGTACGAATAACCTTTTGCGTGACTTGATGGAAAAAAAACGTGTCTCTCGTCGTGTGAACCATTTTCCTCTGCCGGAGCATTGTTTTACAATACCCCAAGTCGTCATTTTTGGCCGAGGGAAGAGATTCTCGTTGTGGCTCTACCAAACCATGGACAGTTGAGAAACACGCCGTAGCATTCCCCTCTGGGTGGAAAGGGACAGCCATTCGACGACGCACCCGTGAGGTTGACGCGTTGAAAATCGTGCTCGTCTATTTTCGATTTTCTCCGCGTGCGCCTCCTCATCCTGGCGACGTTGCGCACCCGCCGTGCGTATGATCCCTGGCGTCCCACGAAGCGATAGGACCTCTGACTTGTTTGTGTTTTACGGTGCTGCTGGCCGGGCGGGGTGGCTGGGCCCAACGTAACAGGTGGGTGGTGACCCACGGATCCGGGTTCCACCATCTGCCGGAGTTGATCGGGCAGCACAAGCTACAGCTGCCGGACCACCTGCGCTCCTGGACCGACGCGGCGCGCATGTGCGGATGGGAAGCCGAACGACTAAACGTCGGCATCGCAGCCTACAACGCTGCGGCCACCGGGCAGGAAGGAAGCGGCGGCGGCGGCGGCAGCGGTGGCCGCCACGCGCCGCGTTCGGGGTCTCGAGGGGCGGGGGCGGCGGCTGAGTCGGCGGGAGCGAGGAGTCGGGGCAGGAAGAAACCAACGATTAAGCACTCGCTGCCGCAGTCGGGCCTGCCCGGCATGCTCAAGTTTCTCGGGTGCCCCAAGGAGCCGGACATCGCGCACCGTACCCGGCGCGGCATGAACGTGGTCGAATCCCTCGCCCAGTGCGTGGTGTGCATGGTCCGCCTCGGGATCCCGATACCGGTGACCTCTCGCATCACCCAGGAGTGGGCTGGCGGCGGGGGTTACGCCGGCTGCCACCACAACGAGCTCTCGATCGACCAGCCCCAGGTGGTGCTGAAGGTCGTGCGGTACGGCCCAGACGGCTTGCCCGCCGAGGGTGCCGTGGCCGCCGCCGGGACGGGTCCAGTGGTGCGGCTGGGGCCTCAGGGGGTGATGGGAGGAGGACCGCTCATTATGAATGCTCCGAATCCGACCGCCGGAATCAATGGGAGCGCTAGCGGGGCGCCGACGCAGCAGCAGCCGCAGAAGACGAAGAAGAAGAAGAACAAGCAAGGCAGCGCCCACAACGGCGTGAGCGCTAACGGTGTGCATGCCGAGGGACCTCCTTTCGTGGGCGGCCCTGCCCAGCACCAGCACCAGCAGCACCAGCTCCGGCCCGGTGCACGTCCAGGTGACGGGCTAGGAGGAGGGCCGCAGTGGCAGAATGGAGCACTGGGAGGAGGGTGGGTTGGCGGGGCGGCCGGGGTTGGAGGGGGTAGAGGCCAGCCGATGCCGCACTGGCGACAAAACGTTCCCATCAACTCCCTAGCCCCCGATTACCTAGACTACTTCGTCCGGGAGAGGGAGCGCCAGTACTACAAGTCGGCAGGGATCCTCCCGTACCGGTGAGCGAGCACCGTTTGCGCGCACGAACGAGGTGTGTTTGGTTGGGCATTTCATTGCAGGCCGCTTCCCCTCCGGGCGTGCGCTCGTGTGCTGGTGTTTATACCCCGAGTGTGTTGTGGTTCGCTCGAGCAGACAAGGCTTGAGTGGGTTGTTGTTGCTGTTGGCTCAATCGGCGAAAAATCAATTATGTCGCTGGCCCTTTTGGTCAGGCCGAACCGAATCTTGCATTGTATCATCGAGGCCTCTCGCGTGTCGACGTCAGCCCGATTGTGTGCCACCTTCGGCTCCTTTACCCAGAAAGCCATGCACCCGGACGTAAAGTTTGTTGGATGTGTGTGTGTGTGTTTTCGGCTGATTGGTGTCCTCCCCTCCCTGCACCCACCAAGGCACCTCAAAAACAGCAAAATCCCCGCGTTCGTCCTTTGTCGTGTCGTGGCAGCCGTGATCCCTCGTCGGGAGAGGTGTGGGTGCTGGTGGGCAGCGAGATCCGGAAGAACAAGCTGGTCGTGAGCTGCTTGGGGGGGAAGAGGGAAGACAGCGATGCCGGACCGGAGCACACCGCTTGGCGGGAGTTCTGGGAGGAGTCCGGAAAGGTGACACGAAGGAATTTTATCATGGAATTAACTTGGTTAAAATTGCCGACTCGGTCGATATTGAGGCCTAAGGAGAGATCATTCGCCTGAAAACATTGGAACAAGAGCGGTTTCCGGGATGCTATGCACATGTACAACAGTTTTTTATTCACCACTTTCGTGTCTGTAGCTGCGTATCCTGACGAGGGCCTGGAAGTGAGAGCAGCTTGCTCGGTACCCACGGAAGACCGCTGCTGTGGTCGGCAACAACGAATCTTGTTACAGGACTCATGACGCGAAACAAATGTCGGGTTCTCAATGTTCACACGACCAACACCGCTGAGTCTGTCCGTCCGGACGCAAAGGACGTTCGACACGTCGACCTTCTCGATTGTTACCCCCCCCCCCCCCCCCCCCAAGGATAAGGAGGGTCTAGAAGTGTACGGAATGTTGAAAGAAGGAATAGGGTTCAAGTATTACCTACATGGACCAATGGATGCAGAGACAAAGCTTAAGGTCAAATTCAGGACCGGGGACATAGGCCTTCGCGAACGTCGACGAAGACATAGGACGGTAGACGACGAAGACGATAAGTTCAAATGCGATTGCGGCTTCGAATGCGAAGACAGTGTTCATGTAGTCGCGGAATGTCCGTGGTACGAAAAGGAGAGGGAAGTGTACATGACTGAGCTGGGAAGAATACAAGTGACGTACAGGGAGATGTTTGAGGCATGGAATAGAGAGGAGAGGACGGTAGCTGTACTGGGGAGTAGAAAGTGGTTTGAAAAGGCGGGAAGGGACATCGGTAGGATAGACAAACTAGGGAAGACATTTTTGAGCCACCTTTGGCAAAGTAGGAAGGAACGATTGGCCATCGGTGATCGGTCCTGTGGGAACAATGCTCCGTCATCTCGAGGACGCGTGGTCAATGGTCTAACCGCTAAGGCATGCAAAACATAAGAGTACGCCCCCCCCCCCCAAAACCCCCGGGGGTTGGCATTGGGGTTGGGTTTTTGTCGCTTGGGAACGAAGTTGTAAAAAAAAGCGAATAATTTTTGAGGTTGGGAAACAGGGTAACGGTTTTTTTTTTGGTTTTGTTTTTTTTGTTGGGGGAAACATGAAAGGGGGGCGAAAAAAATATGTTGTGGGGGGGCAAAAAACCTGAATTCCCGCAAAAGGGAAAAATACAAGTTGTGTTAAAAATAATTAAAAAACCTCGAGGGAGATAAAAAAGGGTTAAAAATGTTTTTGGAAATGAAAATAACAAAAAAAAAAATAAGTTATAAGCAACTGTTATTCGTAAGCAAGGGAATAAAAAAAAAAAGGCGAAAAACCTTAAGAAGAAGGAAGGGAAACTTTATGGGAATTGCCGAAAAACTTAAGGGGCTTTTCGGTTGGTGAAGTGAAAACCTGGTTCGGGGAAAAACCGGGGTGGTCCGTTCCGGGTTTGTAAGGATGGGAAG